TTCCACGCGGTGTAGACCATCGCGTCGAGCGGGTTGGAGACGATGATGACCACCGAGTCCGGGGCGTGCTGCTTGATCTGCTCGGAGACGCTCTTGACGATCTTGACGTTGGTCTGGATGAGGTCGTCGCGGCTCATCCCGGGCTTGCGGGGGAGTCCGGCGGTGACGATGACGACGTCCGAGCCCTGGATGTCCTTGTAGTCGCTCGTGCCCTTGATCGCGGAGTCGAATCGCTCGATCGGCGAGCAGCAGGCGAGGTCGATCGCCTTGCCCTGGGCGACGCCCTCTTTGTCCGGGATGTCCAGGAGGACGATATCGCCCAGCTCCTTGGCGGCGGCCCACATGGCGCAGGAGGCCCCGACATTGCCAGCACCGATGACAGCGATCTTCGCGCGACGCATGGGAAATACCCTTTCAGGTGATCTCAAGGTGGTAATGGCCCGCCCCCGGACAAGGGCCGGAGATGGTAACGCACGCGGACGTGGCGTGCAGGATGCGGGCGACGGGCGGTAGGATCGGGGGCGTGACCCAGACCGCCGACCGTTTTTCCGCCTTCGGGACGACCATCTTCGCCGAGATCAGCGCGCTCGCGCTCGAGCACGGGGCGATCAACCTCGGCCAGGGCTTCCCGGACTTCGACGGGCCCGAGCACGTCAAGGCCGCCGCGACGCGCGCGATGGCCGACGGGCACAACCAGTACGCGCCCCTGCCCGGGGTCCCCGAGCTGCGGGGGGCGATCGCGCGGAGCTTCGGCGAGCGGTTCGGCGTGAGCGTCGACCCGGCGCGCGAGGTGACCGTGACGTGCGGGTGCACGGAGGCGATCGCCGCGACGCTGTCGGGGCTCGTGAACCCGGGCGACGAGGTCGTGCTCTTCGAGCCGTTCTACGACTCGTACCGCGCGTGCGTCTCGCTCGCGGGCGCGACGGCGCGGTTCGTCACGCTCCGCGCGGACGCGAACGGGCGCTTCACGTTCGACCCGGGCGAGCTCCGCGCCGCGTTCAACGAGAAGACCCGCGCCGTGCTCGTGAACACGCCGCACAACCCGACCGGCGTGGTCTTCTCGCGCGAGGAGCTGCGCTCGATCGCGGACCTGTGCATCGAGCACGACGCGATCGCGATCTCCGACGAGGTGTACGAGCACATCGTCATGGAGGGCGAGCACGTGCCCATCGCGACGCTCGACGGCATGCGCGATCGCACGGTCACCCTCTCGAGCTTCGGCAAGACCTTCAGCATGACCGGGTGGAAGATCGGGTGGGCGATCGCCCCGCCGGCGCTCACCTCGGGGGTGCGCTCGGCGCACCAGTTCCTCACGTTCGCGATCGCGACGCCGCTGCAGCACGCCGCGGCCGAGGCTCTGGCGTCCCCGCCGTCGTACTTCGAGGATCTCCGGGCGGGCTACCGCGAGCGTCGCGACCTGCTCGTGGGGGCGCTCCGCGAGATCGGGTTCTCGTGCGCGTCGCCGGAGGGGGGCTATTTCGTCCTCGCCGACCACACACCCTTCGGCGAGGCGGACGACGTCGCGTTCGTGAAGCGGCTGATCGAGGAGATCGGCGTCGCGGCGATCCCGCCGAGTTTCTTCTACGACGAGCCGTCGCACGGAAGGCGGTACGTGCGCTTCGCGTTCTGCAAAGAAAAAGAGACGCTCGACCGGGCGGTCGAGCGTCTCTCAAAGTTGCGACCCCGGAAGGGGTAGCTCAGGGGTTCCGGGTTACGGGCAGGGCCCGAAGAGGAACAGGGCGTTCACGAGGTCGTTGAAGTCCACGACGCCGGCCGGCGACGCGGGGTCGCAGGGATCGGCCGGATCGATGGGCCCGAACTCGAAGAGCATCGAGACCAGGTCGTTGAAGTCGACCACACCGTTGCCGTCGCAGTCGCCCTCGCAGATCGCGGGCTGCCCGACGGTGAACGTCGCGGGGTCGGGGTCCGAGGTGGTCTCGCCGTTGGGGTTGATGGCGATGACCTTCCAGAAGTACTGGCCGTCGGAGAGCTGGAAGCCCGGGTTGTCGAAGCTCGGCGTCTGGGTGACGAAGTCGAGGTTGGGGCTCGAGAACGTGTCGGTGTTGTCGACGAGGATGCGGTAGTCGGTCGTCGCGTTCGCGGTTTCCCACTGGAAGAGCGGGCTCGAGTCGACGCCCACCGCGCCGTCGGCGGGGGTGAGCAGCGCGAACGCGCCGGGCGAAGCGGGCAGGCCGTTGAGCTCGACGTCGTCGACGAAGTACTCGTCCGCGCCGATGCTGACGGAGAGGTTGGTGAACCGGATGCGCAGGTCGTCGTGCTGCGCGTCCGCGGGGAGGTCGACCGACGCGTCCTCGAAGACGGTCATGTCCGGGCCGGAGCCGAGGTGGCGGTTGACCTCCACCCACTGCTCCTGATCGTTGAAGTACTCGACGACCAGGTCCTCGCCGTTCTCGGGCGAGTTGCCGTTGCCGGTGCGCTGCCACTTGTAGTTCAGGGTGATGTTGTCGAGCAGACGGGCGTCCGCGAAGAGCGAGCGGACGAACTGCGACCCGCCGACGTTGAGCGAGAAGCTCCCGCTCGGCTCGTTGATCGCCTGCTGGTTCACGGCGGCGCCGTTGGAAGAGAACCAGACGGAGTTGTTCAGCGAGCCGGTGTCGAAGTTGTCGATGATCGGCATGACCGTGCGGCCGCCGCCGTAGAGGAAGTTGATCGTCTCGATGTCGCCGTCGCTCAGGCGCGAACGCTGGCCGATCACGCCCTGGAACGCCGTGTTCGGCGGGAGGACCGTGATGGTCCGGCAGGAGGCGTTGCACCCGCCGCAGACCGTGAAGTCGCACTCGCCGTAGTGCATGACGGACTCGAAGTCGTAGTCGCCGATGGTGAACGCGCCGGCGGGGATGTTGAAGTTGAAGCCGGCGCCGCAGCAGATGTTGCCGAAGTTGATCTGCACGTAGTCCCCGCGGTCGGGGCGCTGCTGCTCGTGCCAGATGCCGAGCGAGTGCATGATCTCGTGGCAGATGATGAACCGGAACGACCAGTTGACCATGTTGATGGTCTGCGGCCCGCCCTGGATGCCGACCGGCGAGCTGTTGGACGTCGAGTCGTTGAAGACGATGTACGACGCCTCCGTCGTGCGCTCCACGAAGACCACCGGGGTGACCGAGGAGATCTCGGCCATCGCCGCGATGGCGCGCTGGCGGTTCGTCGAGTTCACGTTGGCGTTGAACGCGTAGGGGACGATCCCGTCCGGCCACGTGTTCGTCACCCCGGCGCCCGCGAGCGGGTTGAAGTCGATCGAGCACGGGTTCTCACGAGCGGCCCGGCGCGCGGCCCGGTCGTACTCGGGGGAGCCGAGGCCGTAGAGCTCCTCGGCGGAGAACTCGCCGAGCAGGTCCCACTTCTCCTCGAAGGTGAGGTCGCCGAACAGCGGCAGGCGGTCGTCCTGCTCGTCGACGATCTGTGCGGTCGACGTGGCGGCGAAGCCGGTGAACGCGGCGGCGATGATCGCCAGGCGCACGGACCAATGACGGATTTTCATTGCTGGAACCTCCAGTGTGGGGCGCGGACACCGCCCGATGTCGTTCTGCCGGCCCCTCCGGACCGGTCACCTGAATCCTACCCCCCAAATCCTGCCAGCGGACACTGACGTCATCCGATTCGATGAGATGACGGGCCCGGTTCCACCTTTCGGAGGCCTGGGGGGGCCCTGAGGAGGTTTATCGGCGCAAAAAACAGCCCCGATCCAGTGGATCGGGGCATGTTTGCTCATTCAAGTGTTCTGAATAAGCTGCGTGGTGGGCTGCTGGGAAGCGCAACCCCCGTCGGAGTGCGTTTCAACCACGCAGCCCCTTAGTACAGTCACAATTGGTCACTGGATCACCTCCTTTACGCACGGGACACCGCCCGCGACTCTCGTGACAAGCGCCACGAGCGGCCGTGACATCCCGCAACCGTCGCTGCGGGCTCATCGCCCGACGGCTCACCGGAGCCGACGGTCGTCGTGCCCTCTGGCCGGTCGCTCGCGGGGTTGGCCCGATCGCGACGCAACACGAGCAGCACGATTCTTTCAGTATCGGCCTCTCCGGGCCGAGGTCAATAGCGCTTCGCCCAAAAAACCGGGCGGATTCGCTCAATCTTCCAGCTCGTCGAACGCGCCTTTTTCGGCCTGCTCGTCGAGGTACGCCTGGAACTCGCCCGTCTTGTACGAGATGAAGCAGAACACGTGGTGGAGCGTGAGCCACTCGATGTCCGACGGGTCCTTGTCCAGGTCGGCGCGGAGTCGGTTGAGTTCGGCGAGGAGCTTCTCGGCTTTCATGGTGAAGATGTTCCTTTCGGTGCGGTTGTTCAGTCGTTCGCTTCGCCGCTTCGCCGCGTGAGGTGCGCGAGCGATGCGCCGGCGCGGGCGAGCAGGTACGCCCCCACCATTGTGACGACGACGCAGGGGCCCGTCGGCCAGTTGGCCTCGAAACTCAGCACGAGACCGCCCGCCGTCGTGAGCAGCGCCGACGCGATTGAGAGCGAGACGCTCGGCCGCAGGCGCTTCGTCAGCGCGTCCGCCGTGGCGCCGGGGAGCACGAGCATCGCGCTCGCCAGCACGACGCCCGCGAGTTTCATCACGACCACGATCGCCAGCCCGAGCAGCGCCATGAGCACGGCGCGCACGAGCGCCGTCGGCACCCCCGCCGATTGTGCGCCGTCCTCGTCGAACGCGACGAACACCAGCGACCGGCGCATCGGCCACATCACGAGCAACGACGCGGCGCACGCGACCCACGCGACGATCGCGTCACGCCTGCCGATCCCGAGGAGCGAGCCGAACAGCACGCTCTCGAAGCTCGGGAGCGCCGCGGCGCCGCTCTGACGCTTCCAGTACATCAGCAGCATGCCCAGCGCCATCGACGCGACGAGCACGATGCCGATGAGCGTGTCCTCCCGGTGCCCCGCCTTCCCGCTGGAGAACCCGATGAGCAGCGCCGCGCCGAGGCAGAACAGCGCCACGACCAGGTCCCCCTGCCACGTCAGCGCGCCGGCGCTCGCGAAGCCGAGCACCGCGGCGAGCCCCACACCGCCAAACGCGGTGTGCGAGACCCCCTGGCCCACGAACGCGAGCCGGCGCCCGACGACGAAGACGCTCAGCGCGCCCGCGAGCAGGGCCATCGCGAGGGCCGCGAGCATCACCGGCCACCAGAACGATGCGTCCGGGCCGAAGAGGTAGTCGATCGTCTTCACGAGCCGCCCCCTCCCGGCGGGCCCGCCTGGGGGTCGTGGTGGTGGTGCGGGTGGTCGTGCTCGCACTCGGACGCGGGGTGCGCATCGACGTGCACGTCGCCGAAGACCCACTCCAGGTCGTGGCGGAACACCTCGCCCAGGATCGCCGGCGTGAGGCCGTCCGGCGCGGCGTGGAAGTGCAGCGTCCGGCGGAGGCACGCCACGCGGTCGCACGAGGCCCCGCCCGTCGCGATCGTCCGCAGGTCGTGCGAGACGAGCACGAGCGTGAGCGACCGCTCCTCGCGGATGCGCCGGAGGATCGCCTCGAATTCCGCCTGGCCTTTGGCGTCGATCCCCACCGCCGGCTCGTCCAGCAGGAGGATCTCCGGGTCCATCGCGAGCGCCCGCGCGATGACGGCGCGCTGGAACTGCCCGCCCGAGAGCGCCCCGATGTGTTTCCTCGCCAGGGGTGCGATGTTCACCAGGTCCATCGCCTCGCGCGCCCGCTCGTCGTTCGACGGCAGCGCGACCATCTGCTCGACGGAGATCGGGAAGTCCCGGTTCGCGGTCGATCGCTGGGGGACGTAGCCGATGCGCCCCGCGCGCCGCGCCGATGCGGGCGACGTCCCCAGGACGCGCACGCTCCCTTTCGTCGGGCTCAGGAAACCGGTGAGAATCTTGATGAACGTCGTTTTGCCCCCGCCGTTGGGGCCGACGACCGCGAGCAGCTCGCCCGCGTCGACGCGCAGCGAGACGTCACGCAACGCGGGCGCGCCGCGTTCGTAGGCGTACGTGACGCCCGTGCACTCGATGGCCGGTCCTGTTGCGGGCATGCCTCGCCTGTGGCTCGGGAGAGCGATCGATCAGCGACGATCTTACCCCTCGGCCACCGGGGGCGCGCCGGTCAACGCCTCGTACAGCTTCTCGTACCACCGCTGCATCAGCAGCGGCCAGTCCCCGTCGCCGATCGGGTCCACCTCGATGAGCGGAACGCCGGTCATCTCCGCGGCACGCTCCGCCGCCGAGCGGTTGTGCCACGGGACGACCAGGATCGCCTTGAGGTCGTGCTCGCGGATCGCGTCGACGACGCGCTGCACGTCGCCCGGCGCCGGCTCGACGCTCGGATCGGGCTGCAGCACCTCGAACTCTTCCATCCCGAACGCCTCGAGGAAGACGCCGAACGCGGCGTGGTTCGACACGACGCCCTGCCCGATGAACGGGTCGAGGCGCGTCGCGAAGGTGAGCCCGGCGATGGACGCGGCGTCGGACGCGTTGCCCGTCTCCTGGAGGACGCGCTCCATGTCCTCGCCCTGCCAGCGCCCGAGCGCCGTGTACGCCCGCTGCAGCGCGCTGCCGACCTCGG